CGTGTAGGGGAAGTTGAGTCCTGCAGTCTGGCTCAGATGGACATGGAGGCTGTCTGTGTGGCTGGAGCCATGTGCCTGAGGAGTACAACCAGCTGGGATCAGGGGAGATCCATGGTCTGGGTGGGACCTTTTGTCTGGCCTGGCCCATGCCATGGAGTTGCTGGGCCGTAGGATCAGGGCTCCTGTGTGCCCTGTGAATTGAGTTGAAAACGCAGTTAATAGTGAACACAACTTTATTTCAACAATGAAATTGCCTTCATCATCAGGATGGGCACAGGGGAGGAATGAGTGTGGGGTGGGCCCAGGGAGGACTGTGGGCAGGACAGAGTGGCCTGGAGGCACTGGGGCTGCCTTTGGCCCCACAGTCATGGCCCCAGTAGGGAACAGTGGTGATGCAGTGCAGCCAGAGTCTGCCCTGCTCTCCCTTCTCATCAAGCCATGTTGTCTCTAAGGAGCTGGAAGAACTCTACCAGCAGCTCAAAGACTTTCACCAGGAAGTTGTTTGTGAATGACTGGGCTGTAAAGCCTACTGGTTGCATTGCGACTGGCTCCTCCTGATTTGTCCAGGTGTAGCTTGGCACTGGGCTTGGAGCAGATGTTTCTGCTGGGAGCAATGCAATCCGTTCCAGGATCCATTCCTGGTAGGGCTGGGTGGAGGTGTAGATCCCAGGCCGTTTGACTCCAGAACAGTCCTTTCCCCAGCTGGCAATTCCCACGAGCCAGAAGGAGTCATCTGTGCTGTCCTTACAGACGAGGGGGGCCCCGCTGTCACCCTGCGGGCAGGAGAGAGGGCTCAGGGGCAAGGGGTGCTGTGCCAGGGCCACATGCACACCTTGGGGCTGCAGGAGCAGTGGGTGGGCTTTGTGGACAGACTGTCAGGCCCTGACGAAGAGGGGACAGGGCCCTGTGGGTGGGGCAGGTAGGGGACAGGGACACATGGATGGGGGAGGACAGATATGGGACATGGGAAAGGGACACATGGATGGACAAGGTCAGCACAGCCCCAGCAGCAGCAGACACCCAAGGCTGGGAGGGTGACTGGGCAGCCCCAGCCCATGCCAGGCTGGGGCTGGGTGCTGTGGGGGTCCCTGTGCTGCCTGGCTGAGCTCTCCTGGCTCGCTCCTACCTGGCAGGTGTCGGCGCCGCCCCGCGGGTACCCAGCACACAGGCTGTGGGGGGGGACGGGCCCTGCATACCCATTGCTGCTCTTG